GCTGCTGCTGGAACGCATGCAGTCCTTCTTTGTCGATGAGGGTTTGCTGCAGGCAAACGCAATGCAGGCGCAGCTCTGGGCTGCAGCAAACCCTAGACGAGGTAAACCCTAAACCCTAAACCCTAAACCCTAAACCCTTGGCTTCATCTTTCTACGTGCAGCAGAGGAACTGCTGCTTTTTCTCTAGGGTTTAGGGTTTAGCTGAAGCCTAGACCCTTGGAATTTAGGGTTTAGGGTTTAGGGTTTAGGGTTTAGGGCTGAAGAGGGTTTGGTGTACAAGTGTTCGCAGGTGGCGAGACGACAGCACCAACAGCAGCAGCAGCAGCAACACCAACAGCAGCAGCAACACCCCCAGCAGCAGCAGCAGCAGCAGCAGCAGCAGCAGCAGCAGCAGAGTGGCGATCATGGACGTACAGTGATCTATCTGTTGTTGATTACGTAGACTTGCTGTCTGTCGTTTTGCTGCGCTTTATATCTTTTCGTTTGCCCCCAGCAGCAGCAGCAGCAGCAGCAGCAGCAGCACCAGCAGCAGCAGCAGCAGCAGCAGCAGCAGGGAGCAGCAGGTTTGCTGCTATGCATGGAAAAGCTTGTGAGCTGCTAGCTTCGTTTGTCTCCGCGCTGCAGCCAGCAGCAAGAACCCGAGAGGTTTGCTGCTTGCTGCTGCATGCGCTCGTTGAGCGGCTTATTGCTGCTGTGCAGCAGGCAGACTATGCAGCACAAGTAAGGGTTTAGGGTTTAGGGTTTAGGGTTTAGGGTTTAGGGTTTAGGGTTTTGGGGGTTTAGGGTTTTGGGGGTTTAGGGTTTGAGGGAGTTGCTTATGTATTCGTCTTTTTAGGGTTTAGGGTTTAGGTATGGAGTGTTGCTGCTTCTGCTTTTGCTGCTGCTCTTCATGCTGCTGCTGCTGCTGCTGCTGTTTTTGCTGCTGCTGCTGTTGCTGCTGCTGCTGCTGCTGCTGCTGCTGCAGTCGCAGCTGCTGCAGCTGCTGCGCGTGGTGATCATACACTCAAGCCAGCCTTCCCATACCTTCTCTCCTGCCACCAGGTGTATCCTCAGCAGCAGCAGCATGCAGCTGCAGCAGCTGCTGCAGCAGCAACTGCCGCAGGGTCCTTCGTCGCCATCAGGCGCTGCTGCT